GATGTTTTGGGGTGCTTGCAAGGTGCCAATTAAGGGCACTGTAGCCTCCCAGCAGGAAGGTCGTTGGTTTGAGTCCTGGCTAGGCCAGCTGGCATTTCTGTCTGGAGTTTGCCTGTGTTTTCTCCAGGTGCTCCAGTTTCCCCCGCAGTTCAGAGACATGCTCTATAGGTGAATTGAATAAACTGATGTTGGCCATAATGTATGAATTTGTGTGTGAACGCGAGAGCATATATGTGTTTCCCAATATTGGTTTGCATGTGGAAGGCCATCTGTTGTGTAAAATATATGCTGGAATAGTTGGTTCATTCCGCTGTGGTGACCTCTAAAATCAAGACTAAGCCAAAGGATAACGAATTAATGCAAGGTGCCAACTATTAAACAACAGTATGACTATGCTTGGAGACTAATTAGATGACTTGAAAACCAGCAAATCAGCTTATACCAGTTAGGGCAATCAAAAGTTCTTAGCGCTTAACTCATTCCCCTTATCTTCTGTAAAAGAAGCATGTATTTTAGTGTTTTTTTTATTGTAAAACATACAATAAACTTGCTTTAATGTTTCAGTTTAACTGACTCAAATACTGTAGCATTTGTTATATTTTGATCAATTATCTACTCAAATTTCAAAGTGACAAGGATTGATATTATATAAATAAATCTAAATTTCACACACACACACAGACTATAACCTTAAATTTTGTTACGTTTGCGTCTGGCGTCCACACTACTCTGGCATATACGACTTGTAAAAATAGTGTGTTTTGAAAACAATGAAGACACCTTTTTAGTTTGGAAATGCTTGTTTTCTGTTTCAGTATGACATACTGAAATGCAGACTTTTGAAAATGGAGGCCTGAATAACAGCTCTCTTATTGGCCTTCTGGACCATTGCAAGTCGTTCCCTGATTTGTCTAGCCCCTCCTTTATGACCATTACACAAGTGGCAGACTGGATCGATGTACGGTTGGTTGGTTGGTGGGTTGGATGGATGGATGGATGGATGGATGGATGGATGGATGGATGGATGGATGGATGGATGGACGGACAGACAGATGGACGGACAAATGGATGGACGAATGGATGGAGGGACGAACAGATGAATGGGCAGTTGGTTGGTCAGTCGGTTGGTTTGTCAGTTGGTTGACTGGTTGGATGGACGGATGTTAGTTAGTTGGTTGATTGCTCCGATAGATCGACGGTTGGTTGGTTGGTTGGTTGATTGGATGGATGGATGGATGGATGGACGGACAGTTGGTTGGTTAATCAGATGGTTGGTTGGTCAGTTTATTGATTGATTGATTGATTGATTGATTGACTGATTGACTGATTGATTGATGACAAGTTGACCTTAAAATTTACATAAAAAATATAAGTAGCACTTTGGAAACTAAAACAGGAAGGAAGGGTGAGGGTTAAAGTGCATTTTTAGCATAGCTATAAACATTTCAGCATTAAATTCAAACTTAAACCAAACAACATATGTTAAAGTTCCCTATAATGTTATAGCATTGTGCTATTAATTGCTTAATTGCTTGAATTGAAGCTTGTGTTGCTAAACAGAATTATTAATGCACTTGTTGTATCTTCTGAAAGTGTGCTGGGCCTTTTTCTCTGCATTATTAGCATTTAACGTTATATTCTTAGATTAAAGAACAAGATGGATTGAACCCCTAGAGGTTTTTGCCTTTTATGAGCGTAATCCTTCACAAGCTGTCTGAGCGTGTCAATGAGAAATATCTGACCATCCCTGTGTGTGTGTGTGTGTGTGGTTGGTACCAGACGGTGCTCTGCCAGGTCTAGGATGGAAGCTCATTAAGGAGCCGGAATATGTCAAATGCAGCTCACCCTGACCGCCTTATTACCGCCTATATTCAATAAGTCACTGTCGCATAAGGCAGTCAGAAACCTTCACAATGCAGCCGCTGACCTTTTTAAACCGGCATATTCTATTAGCACATGTAAATGGCATAGTCTTCAGACTGGGGATATGAAGCAGAGTGTCGAGCGTCTACTGTTTTATTGTTGTTAAATGTGCGTCTCTGCTAACAATGCACAACTGGTGTGTTAAAGATGCTGTATGTACATTTTTGACTCTTTTTGACATCTTAAGTATAAAAAATAGCATAATATGTTGGCAGATATTAAAAAAAAAACGTGCTAAGTGAACATATACTTTAATTTGAAAATCAGTGCTAAAGTCAGTTATTCTCCTATGTCTGCTTTTGTTTTGGTCTCTTTAACCAGCACACTGCCAGTTTACCCAATTATATTTCGACACCTTGGTATGCCTTAGTGCAGGGGTGTCAAAACTATGCAGGGCCGGTGTCCTGCATAGTTTAACTCCAACTTCCTTCAACACACCTCCCTGGAAGTTATTAGTATACCTAAAAAGAGCTTGATTAGCTGGTTTAGGTGTGATTGATTGAGGTTGGAACAAAAATATGCAGGACACCAGTCCTCCAGGACCGAAGGCTGCCTCAATGTATGTGTGTGTGCGGCCGAAAAAAAAAGTTACCCTTCGGAGAACAGTAGCACACTCTAAAATGAGATGTGGAGTTAGAAAAATCCACATGAGGTGGTTTTAAATTGGCAAATATAAATATTACAAACATAAATAGAACTACACATATATCACTTTAATAAACTACAACTCCCATAATGCATCTCAGACAAATGTAAATATTAGCTCAGTTGCTTACAATGTAAGTGTCACGATCACCAGTGATCTAGCCTGTGCAGATCGCTGGAGAACTAGACATTTGCCACTTTAATGAACTACAACTCCCATCATGCACCTCAGACACACCAGTTCCTGATTCCCCCTGATTACTCACACACATGTAAACATAAGACACTCATTGCAGTTAAGTTCATGTGGTGGCAGATGTATAGTTCTCCAGCGATCTACACAGGCTAGAACACTGGTGATCGTGACAGTAAGGCTCGACCCTCAGGCATGTTTGCTTCTGTTGTCAGTCTGGCAACAAAAAAATGTAAAATCTGTCATCATTTACACACCTGTTGTAAATGTGTAAAACACAATGTGTAACAGACGCATTCGCTGGCTATTTGTTGAAGCTGACGCAAGACTTTGTTTGATGTATTTAGGATGTGATGCAAACAGACCAACAAAATGTATTGATCATTTCAACAAATAGCTTAGCCATAGCTTGTTGTGTTCCCACTTTATATCTAGTTTCAGAGTTTTTTGACTCCATCAGCTGTGTTACATTTGACTGTTGGTAGATTGTTTTTATGCTGACCTGTTGTAAAGCTCGGTTATGTTTACAAGGAGTGCCGCACAAAGAAAAGTCTTCAGAAACCGCATGTAAGCGTATAAGCTGTTAATCCAGCAATTGTGAATGATCCAATGCTGAGGAAAAAGTTGCACATCGGGCTTTTGTGTATGTGTGTGAGTGTGTGTGAATTACTTCTCCAACTCTTATTGGTGTTTGCAAATGATTTGGGTACTTTTAAGACATGGTTTACCGACTTTTTATTTTGTATATTTTTTTTTGTTTTGCATGGGCTTATTACTTGCTGTGCCACTTGCTTGTCTTTGTGTGCTTTGATTACAAAACCACTACTACTGCGTCAGCTGTATACATGTTCAGTAACCTTGCAGGGGATTCATGTTCCAGCATGATTATAAAAACCACACCACTGATTTAAAAGATGCTCTGAACTTTTGAAAGCAGCGGCGCTTGCTTTGCCTTTCACCTGCATCATTAGGACCCTTCATCGGTTTTGAATTCATTGAGTTGAAAGGAAATTAATGTATTTTTATGAATGGTTTGATAGAATAAAAGAGTGTACCACAAAAGAAATGTATTCCATATAAGCCAACAAGGTCAAGTTCTTCATACAGTATGCAAGCAACCTGCACTTATAATGAATCATAATTTCTAAGGTCGATCTGGTTTATTTTTGTATCTGATTGTTACTTTTAAATGGAGGTTTTGCATTCACTGAACGTGTTAAATGATCGAGGGTGCCTACATACTAGAATTTACTCTATCAGAAAGTGTTTCAAATCCATTGAACTCAATGGCGTTTAAGCACTGGAAGGACAAAATTACATAAATTAAAGATAAAGTGCACAAAAAACAGAACATTTATTTACACACCAATGAGACTCAAGTGGTTGGTGCATGAATCTTTTCATATTCAACCCATTCTTATTCCAAAGGCATCCAAAACTGACGTATACCCTTACTATATCAACAGGTATTCGATTGCTTTCACTGGAAAACCTTGGACGTCAATACAGACATTGAACTTTTTTAAATTATATTTAGTGGGATTATTTTGTCATTCTGACCTATTTGGTCTATAACCTCTCCAACCATTAAATGATTAAAATCATCAAGCTTATAGCAATAAATTACTCTAATCTGCCTGCTTTGTTTTGACAAATGTTAAAGTTTAGTGTGCAGATGGGTTTAAGTACTTAAAATACAACATCTCAACATATTGATTATGTAAAGTTCTGTAATTCTAAGAATCAAGGCAAGCAGTGTTGTCAATACAGTGATTCCTAGGGTACATTTAGTACTGAGTAAGACTCTTCATGGTGCTTTTGGGAGTAAGAATTGGTTGTAATATCACATAAATCCTCTCAGTTGTACCTTCCACAGATCAAATTCTGTCTTTGTACCCAAAACAGAAACATTACACCCTGCTCTAGTGCATAGGCGCCCTCTGTGTCAAGACTTTTGTTTGATATCTTTGCATACAAGATGTTTTGAGTGCTTGTTCTTTGTGGTCTTTCTATAAAGTGCATGACATCCAACTCTTTCTTTTCTGTGTGAACCGTCCTAATGGGCTGGTTTTGTGGGAGTGGGTGGGAGTGGGATTGGCTTTGGGGCGGGGGCTTCTTCCTGTCTTCCCTTTCGTTTCTCCTCCCCTTTGTTCCTTACCTGAGCACCTGCACAAATGCACCTCCTTTCCCACCAGAGCACTGACACACTCTCCCCTTCCATCTGTGTTTTCCTACCCAGAACTCCCTAACATCCCCTTTGATGAGCGTGAGATCCCAGCGGAGCTGCATAGTTCCGGCGCTGCCATCGGTGGTGCGGTTGGTGGAGTAGCCCTGCTGGTGGCCGCCATCGCACTGCTGGTCTTCTTCCTGCGGCGTCGCCAGCGCACCTTTAAGGGCGACTACAGCACCAAGAAACATGTGTTTGGGAATGGATACAGCAAGGCTGGCGGGATGCCCGCCCATCCTCCAATGCCCAAGAACCTGCAGTACCCCGATGACTCGGACGATGAAAAGAAGCCAGCTCAAATAAGTGGGCCTGGTGGCTTCGAGAGCGGCGATCGGGATTTCGACGGCAACTCTGAGGATTTGAAGAGACCCTATTTCACTGTAGACGAAGGCGAAAGTCGCGATTACGATGAACGGACTCTCGCCTTCCAGTACGACCCTGAGCCAGAGATCGCCGACGACATGGTCTCCCAAACCGACGGCTCTGTTATTTCAAAGAAGGAGTGGTATGTGTAGAGCGGCATGGGAAAAAAGATCGACCTTTTGCCCTCTCCTGCATCCGACCACATCCACCCACCTCCATCACTTGAACCCTCCCTCCATGTGTTTACCCCGATCTGCACATCCCACCACCCCTGACCCAGTAACCTCCGCCCCATCAGAGATAAACAGCTGTAGAAAAATAGCTCGCATCATCGACACGTCTGCGTCATCACACATCCACATGCTTTTAGATGAACCTGCTACAGCAGAAAGAGGTTTCCTCAATGACTGATGCCAATCAACATCCAGCAAGGCTGGACCGGCAGGTCGCTTGAAAATATTACAGTGTATTATCCTTTTTGTCTCATTTTGTTGTTATTATAAATGTATTAAATGTATAAAAAGAGACTGTAATTGTTTTGGAAAGGGGTATATTGCTGATCATGTTGTGAAAGTCTTACACTGGATGTACGATTATTCTTTTTTATTCTTTGTTAGTCTTTTTTTAAATCTCATTAGCATATTACCATTTCTTGTTTTGCATTAATAGTTTTTTATATAGTTATGGTTTTATATGGAGTGTTGGTTATCAAAAGATGTGGAACTAAAAAGAGTAGAGTTATTATTTCTGCCCAAACAGTGTCATTATGAGGTCGAAGGTCACATTAACACTATCGTGTTAAATGGAAACGATTAAGCGTTTTTGTTTTTCACCGCAAGCATCATTCCTGAATGTAAGGATAGGGTCCGAAATTGTGGCGTAAGTCTGAAAGCTGGAAAAAAAAATATGTGGGTTCTGACTGCTCTCCAAAAACAGTATTTATTTTAAGACCCGAGGAACACATCTGCAGCGTTAGTCATATGCACACTGCAGTAGAGCATGCGGAGCGGGGCCTAGACAGATATACTGCACCCACCCACCTATCCGTCCCTCAATCTCCATGCCACTCTTAGCCAATCTGAAATCATACTGTAGATCCACCACTGGTGTGCTGCGATGCTATTCCCAAACCCATTTCCTCGTACGATGCAAAAGGATAATCCTGTATAATGTGGTGTTGTTATAAAGACAGGGTGTTTGTTATTTAGTTGGTGCTGTGGAGTGGTCAAAAATGTTCTTGTAAATATGAACAGGTTCAATTGTAATGTTTAGTTCCGCAGGAGATTACGGCACTGGTGTCAACCACCATTTAGAAGTGGAAGCAGTTTTTCCGAGAGCAGGTATGGGTCACGGAAATTAAATGACGGAAAATTCTTGAGCCAAAGTGAAATCAGAGGCTGCGACTGGGCATCGCAGACAGGCTTGTTATGGAGGGATGGATCTTCTGCGAAGCCAGGAATCCTTTCCAGATCCTCTATAAGAAGCAGAACTCTGTTGGCTACAAATTAGTACACATTTAAATAAATGAAAACAGATACTCATTATGATTCTAAGATGATAAAAAGCCATTTTTAGTTTGGTTTAGCCTTTTTGTTGCACTTTTACATCAATGTTTATTGTATATAAAAGACTGGTCAGTTTTCCACAAACTAATTTCATTTCCAGAGATAGATAAACTGCTTAACTGCACCCATATCACCCTTTAGACTAAATAAAAAATGAGTTAGTGGAATTTATCATAGCTTGTCTATGAAATATTTAATTTCCTTTGCCTGCCATAAACATGGCTGTGTACAAGATGAGAGATTAAGATGCCGAACCGCTGTAATCACACAGACAATCCAAGAGAACCTGTAAACTCGCCTGCACAGAATCTGATGGCTTTTTTTTTTCTTGCATTTTCTTCAAACATGAACTCTACCGAAAGGACTTAAACATGAAAATATCCCTTTAAACTGGGATTACCACACTCCAACTGGTAGATGACGCCATTATTGAAAGAATCTAGAAAACAGGCAGCCGCAGATTCCTTACATAATGAATGAATACAATGTAGGGAAGTTCACGCACATCTCGACTTGACCGAAAACATAACAACTGTAAATCCATCGCTTAGCAAACCTTGTATTTTAGCTTAGAACGGTGAATGAGCAGAGTTACACAAATTGCAGTGCCTATGACGTGTGAGATGTTTTTTTTTTTTTTTTTTGGTTTTAGGTCTGAATCTGTACATATCGTTTTCTATTTTTTTAGTTCTCGTGTCATTTGGTGTACATTTTTAATGCATTACCATGGTAAACATCTACACATGTTGATGGGAAGCGCATCGCCTGGTCTTCAAGTATTATAGGAGCCGTATTTGTACCTGTTTTTTTTACCCTAACAAGTTAAAATATACTCTATATGCTTCACATGATGGAACAAAAATGAAAAAATTGGCTGGTCTGTCAGCACTTTTAACTGGAAACCGGCTGCAAAATCAACGGCGTGATTGAATCTGACATCACTTTATCTAAAGCACAAGCTTTTTTGTTCCCAAAACTGATTTTGGTGGTTTGTTTTTTACAAATATTGTTAATTTCTCTTTGTCTTTGGTTGTTTTAGTTGAGTTTTTTAAGCTAAGCACAAGCTACACAACCACCAGATGACTATTATGGTTATAAATGCCAAAAAAGAACTCAATTGACTATTAATGTTCACCACGCATATCATTTATTATTATTTTTATATACAATAGTTTGTCTTGTGGATTAGTTAATTTTAAGGCTTCATTAAATGGCGCATGGGCGTACAAAATAAATATTTCCATTATTTTCATATTAAATATTGTTAATATTCCTTCTTTTTATGTTCCTCATTTTCAAGTGGATTTTTTATTCCAGAGTCTCATGTCTTTCTAACTGCCCACTTCAAAGCCTGACATTCCACTGTAAATAATGTATGTACCTTGGAAACTATAGCTGGGTTTACTGTACGTGCTGGGGGAACAGAATCGGTGGAGTTTTTTTTTTGTTTTTTTTTTCGAGTCTGGAGGTTGACTGCAAACTGAACTAGAAAACAAATTAGACGGTTGGAGATGTATAGCTTATTGCCATAAATCTACTTCGACATTGACTTGGGTAGATTAGGTTTTGATATGTTAATGGGGTTGTGTATAGCGATTGTGGGGCTGATGCATTACGATGACTTTGTACATAACAGCAACAAAACAAACAAACAAAAAATATCTGTAAAAAAAAAAAGATCTTGTCTTCATGCAGCCGTGTGAATGTATGTCTGCTGAGGTCGGTAATGATATGATAAAAAATATATATATTGTTCACATGTGTTGACCCAGTGAAGTAAACTGTATTTGCTTTAAAACATTAAATGATTTCAATGTTCAAAGACGCTTTGTCCCAGTTCACTCGCTAGGTTTGATGGTGTTATTTTTACACTTGCAAGATATGATTCATTTCTTACATTAACTCGATATTTAGAAATTTTACCACAATGATTCTCATGAAATTATAGTCGAAATATTGTATTTTTTACTGATCGATCGATTGATTGATTGATTAATTGATAGATTGTGTGGCATTCATAAAATATTGATTTGAGCCATTCATTTGAGTATATTTTATTTGTTCATTAAATATAGTTAGTATTATTAGGATTAAAAAAACTAAATTTATAAAAAACGTATAAAAGATTATTATCCATCCATATTTATCCATAAATCCATGCAATAAAAAGGCTATTTATTTATTTATTTATTTATTTATTTATTTATTTATTTATTTATTTATTTATTTATTTATTTATTTATTTTATTTTATTTTATTTTTGTATATTTATTTGTTTGTTTGTTTGTATTATTTATTTATTTATTTATTTATTTATTTATTTATTTATTTATTTGTACGTTTATTTAATAATTTGTACGTTTATTTATTGATACTTAGCAGTGATTTGTTCCTTTACTTGTTTTAAATAAGTAAACCTTTAACTTTAAACTGTTACATTTTAATTTAACTTTAATTTAAGTGACTTTTTAATTTTTTCAAATATGTACATTTACTTAATTTTACATTAACTAATTTAAATGAACCTACTTAAAATTGATTGATTGATTGATTGATTGATTGATTGATTGATTGATTGATTGATTGATTGATTGATTGATTGATTGATTGATTGATTGATTGATTGATTGATTGACCGTTGTGGTGTTCATAAAATCATTATATTTACATTAAGTTATTATATATTTATGTTTAATATGTATTGATTTGAAATATTTTAATATGTGATATTTATTTATTTAACAATCTTAGAATTAACACAAACCTATAACATTTTACTGTTAAATTGACTTTAATTTAATACAGCGGTTCATGCCGCTGTGGCGACCCCTGATAAAGGGACTAACCTAAAAGAAAGTAAATGAATGAATGAATTTGAATTATTAATTTTAATATGTTTGTTTTATTCATTTAACAATGTTAGTATTAATAGGTTTAAAAAATTACATTTAGAAAAATTATATTTATAAATTCATGCAATGAAAAGGCTATTTATTTGGTTATTTATTTATTTTATTTTTTATTTTTTTATTCATCTATTTCTATGTACATTAATTTTTTCATTTATAAACAGAAATGTATTTATTTATACTTTGCTTTTTTTTTAAAAATGAGTTAATTGACTTTAATTAAATTTAATATTTTTTTATAAATATGTGCATTTAATTATTTTTACATTATTTACATTATATTTATAAATGCAACGGAAAGACTTTATTTGTACATATAATTGTAATACATATTTTAAACAGTGATTTGTTACTTTACATTTTACATAAAATAAGTAAATCTTTTGTAGCTTTGAACTATTTAATTGATTTTATTTTTTATTGTATTTTTTTTTTTTATAAATATGTACAATTTACTTTATTTTAAAAGTCTGTAGGTTTACTCTTTACTCGACTATTCTGGGTAAAGTCAAATTATTGCTTTTTACAGTGTGATTTTTTTTATTATTATTTACCTACACATACACAACAAAATCAAGATTCCAAATAGATTTCCGCATCATTTATCTAACCAAGTTCATAATTCATCCTAATAATTTCAGTATTTTTTAAAAAGTATTTCTACAGAAAAGTTGGCTTCAACAACTCAAAACAAGCCAGGTTTATTGTCATTCCAGTCATACACAGTCACATATAGAACAGAATGTTGTTTCACACTATCTGCAGTGCAGTTTACAGACGCTGAGCAATGCTCTGCTATAAAATAAATAAATAGATAACAAAACACAACTGCAAGTAAACAAAAAAGAGGTCAGGAATGCCATAGTATATAAAAAGCATACTGTAAGTGGTGAATAATAAAGATTATATATCCTGTGATACCTAGTTCACTGGACATTTTAGAAACTAATATGACTGAATTTCACCCCACAATCCTTTGCTGTTATAACCCAAGAATCCAGAGGTGTTTTAGTAGTTATTGTTAGCGAAAGTAAAACTAAAATTACCTATAAATATTATTTATATAAATAAAAGTTGTTAATACTCATTATACATATATTGTAATGACTGTACTGTATAAACATAATAATAATAAAACTATTATTATTATTATTATTATTATTATTATTATTATTATGAGTAGTAGTAGTAGTAGTAGTATTATACATAATCATGTTAATATTAATATTTTATTATTATTATTATTAGT